AAATGAGGAGAAAAATCTCAATATTAGAGAATTTGTCTTTTATTTAGTTGCTTAAGTTGTATTAAATAAAAATATTAAATAATTAATTTTTAATATATTAAGAAATAGTTATACACTACAAGAAAAATGATTTTTGGTGACAGAAATTTGTGATGAATTTTGAAATCATCACTATAATTTATCACAATTATGACAGATCTAAAAAATTAGTCACAGATACATACATATTTAATGATGAACAAAAAAATTCATCATAAAAAATATATTTCATCATCCAAAAATGTTCGTAGAGATAAAATAAGCTTTTGTCAATAAAAATCATCACTATAATGCATTACAATTATGACAAAATTTTAATATTGGTCACATATACCTTACAAATTCAATTATGACAAAATAATTTATCACTAAAAAATATATTTCAGTTACTAAAAATTGTCAATTTTCTCTAATCAATGCATCCCACATCGATAAAAAATACATACGAGAATAATGTTTTGCATTATAAATATATCCCATATCAATGAGAAATATTTAAAAAAATAAATTTTGCATTATAAAACATATGAAACTCAATAAAACTTGAGATTAGTTTGGGCCTGATTAATTTTAATTGGGTTTGATTAATTTTAATCAGACTTGATTAATTTTAATCAAAGTTGATTAGTATTGAAATAATTATATTTTTTATTAAACTTTTGTGATAAATTTATATATTATTTTTTTTGTGACAAAATTTTTGTTAAAATTTTTGTGTTGTAATTATATAAATATCTTTTTTATTTAATATCAATTTTAATAGTTAATGATTAAATTTTACATCATAATTGCATTTGTATTTTTTTGTGACAAATAAAATTGTTATAAATAATTTGTTAACAATGTCAATTTTTTTTATCACTACAAAATTATTTTCTGTGACAGGTGCTTAATTTATATCACTAAGAGCATTAGTGATAAGGGTTTTATTAACGATTTAAATTTTATTACTAATAATAATTTATGACAAAAAAAAATAGATTTAATGATCAATAATTTAATCACTAAATATAGATTTTCTTGTAGTGATATATATATATATATATTTTTTACATCATTTTTAGAGGTCAAACTCGATTTACACCCTATGATTTTTTTTTAATGTACACCATCGCAAAGGAAAATGGTCGAATTATTTTTCATTGAATAAAATTTACCAAAATGTAGTAGCATAGCGTACCAATAGGCAATTGCCCTTATTATATATAAAAAAAAAAAATCAATTTTTATTTTATTTTTTTATGCACATCTATCAATGAATCAAATCATCAGTCGGGTTGGAGGCTGAAAAATCATTAGTGGGGTTTGTTTAGTCCTAATATGAACTGGGCCGGGGAGGAGAGTCCATAGGCTTGATAGGCGATCCAACCCAAGAAAAATTACACAATTTTGAAAGGATGAATACATTTTTTTTTAAAATGATAAACGGTGTACCCTTATTAATTATGGAGCCCAGAATACATCAATTGAGATGAGCCTTCTCATTTGGCATACTTTCATACTGGCAAAAGGGGATTTCATCAACCCAAGTCTGCTCCTCATTCACCTGCTCCAACCATCTCGCCAAATCATGTGCCGTGTGGTTCCCGTTCGGTTTACAGTGCGTAAAGGAGACATCGTTCATCGTCTGAGCAAGCTGGATACAGTCAGCTATTACCCCACCTACGTCCATTCCTCCTACTAACCTCTCCCAATGTCAGAGCTTGCGTCACCATTAGGCAATCCGACTCCAGGGAAAACTCATGTAAGTTCAGTTCCTTGGCCCATTCCAAGGCTCTACGTACCGCTAGGGCCTCCACAACCATGGGATCACCAAAGTAAGCAAACTGACCTACCATCGAGGCCATAACGTTCCCCATCTCGCGCGTCACGGACTACCGCTCCTATACCCGACCGTCCCGATCCCTGGAACATGGCTTCATCCACATTCGTCTTTAAACCACCAGCTTTCGGAGAGATGCAGCCGTGTGTCCCTGGATTCTTGCCTACTTCCCATAAACTTAGTCTGCTCCATCCACATTGCTGCCTACTCCCATAAAGTTCTCATCCTTTCAGGTTTGATCCTTTCCAGGTTTGATCCTTTCGGAGGTTCAAATTTTGCTTATTTCCTAATTGTCCCAGAATTTTATTTGCCATTAAACCTATACAGATTAAAGATTTAAGACATTTCCTTAAGGAAATAAAAATAAAGAGAATTTTATTTTTGATACAATGATGAATTAAAGTTAAAAAAATGATGAGGTTAAAACAAATAAAGTATTTATTTTATAAATAA